AATCATAACAAAGCAACTTCACGTAGTTACTGAGGCATCAAATTTTGAGACCTGGGAGGTAGGAATGATGGTGGAATGAGATAGACATCATGTACATGTATAAGACACTAATGGTGTGAAAATACTTTGTGAACAACCATTGTCTTGAAAAATTGTACTCTATATGTGTAATATGAAATGAATTGCATTATGCCATAATGTATAACAAATCAGAAAAAAAAAAAAAGAGAGACCTGGGAGGTCTCTACCATGCATGTCAGGAGTTGCTAATTTATATTGTTGCAGAAACTGTGGGCCTCTCAACCCTCCCGGGATGGGAGTTTTGGATTATTTATTATTTACAGTATAATGAAATGGATTTTTTAGGTGTCCACTTGGATTCTTTGTAAGATTCCCTTTATAACGTCTCAGAAAGTCAGGTTTCCTGACCATATGTGTTTTTTAGAACATATCGAATGACTATATCCAAGATCGCGCTCATTAGATCTGTGTTGTGTTTTTATAATACAATTTTATACATATTTAAATGCTTGCTGAATCAGGTTTTTGATTGCTGTTATGTATGTAGAGTTTTTTTGTTCTGTTTTGGATTTTTGTTTGTATGTTTATTTATTTTTAGTGGTTTCAGGTATGGACTCCAGGGTCTCATGCATGCTAGCAAGCACTCTGCCCCTGAGCAACATCCCAGCCCAGTTTTGTGGAACTTATAACATTGTTTTGTGTTAGTGGTGAACAAAAGCCAGTGTGAATATACCCTCCAAGAAAATAATGAATTCTGTTCAGTTGATTTACAACATTTTCTGACAATTGATCAATATGAGCAATTGGTCAATTAACTTTTCTTTTACTTGGAATTTGACCTAAAATTAAGCTGTTTTTCATTCACTAAGTTAGAAATACACTTAAATCTTTTAGCTGCAAAGCACTGTGCTGGAGCAACTGGGGTAATACATTGTAGAGCTTTAGGGTGGAGGAAGAGAGTATATTACCTATTGCTGCATAACAAGTTACCTTAAAACTTAGAGGCCAAAACAAATAAGTGCTCTACATTTCCTGGGGGCCAGGAACACAGGTATGGCTTAGTATTTAGTTTCATTAAATTAATTTTAATTTTAATTTCATTAAATTTATTTAATTTCCTTTGTGAAAGGATTCCAGGAAAGAAGTGCTATGCAAATGTATGACAAGGTGTTTAAATTGCTCTAGAATCAAGGAAGGGCTTCATTGAAGAAATGGTTTGGGTTGAGTGTTAAAGAATGGGCAGGATTTGACTAGATGGAGAGAGAGGATGAGGAAATGGCTGTATAAAAACCCTGAAGCAGGAGGGCACCAGGAAGGCCAAAGATAACTACAGAGAGCTTGATGAGCTATGGCAGGGGCCAGATCCTCTATGACTTTACAGGTTTTGGTTTACCTTAAGAGCTGTCACCTTAAAATGTTTGTGATTTTAGGGATTCAGACAGCAAATATTTATGGGCCACCTTCAAGTGTGCTTAGTACTGGTAAAGGATGACAGTTTCAGTTCTCAAGTTATCTATAACTCAATTATCAGTTATCTATAATTGGAGAGATGTGATATCCACATTTGAAACAATAAGCAACCCAGCATAGAACAATTAATGTTATGATTATAACAATAATATTGATGTAAAGTATTAAGTCGTGTGATACAAATACAGAATAGTATTTAATTAGCTAATTGTTTAAGCAGGTAGTGCTGAGCATGATTAGTATTTAAATCAGGAATTCAATGATTTTAATATGGGAGTTGCTTCTGTGATTATATTCAAATAGAATTTTTGTATATAATATAAATTTTTTATATAATATAAATTTAAATATAAATTTGCTTATTTTTGCAGTGCTAGGGATCGACTCAGGGCCTGGCACATGCTAGGCAAGTGCTTTACCACTCAGTACGAGTCATAAAGTTTTACCCAAAGTTTTTGGAGCCTATTTTTTAAAATAATTTTACAATTAAAAACAATGATGAAATTATTGGAATTTACTTTGAAAAAATGCATTATCAATTACATATATAAATGTTCATTATGTTCCAGATATGGTGTCTGATATTTGAATTGAGGCAAACAAATTCCTGCCTTAAAAGTAAGGCTGGGGTTGTGGCTCAGTGGTAGAGCGCTCACCTAGCACGTGTGGCCCTAGGTTAGAACCTCAGTACCACATAAAAATAAATAAATAAAATAAAGGTATTGTATCTAACTACAACTAAAAAAAAAAAAGGTAAGGTAATAAATAATATGAGGCTATTGTGATATATCAAACTTAAAGGATATATACATGTGATTTTTAACAATTTCAAAAGGAAGGGGAGATTGCAGTAGGGTGGACTGATCTAGAAAGGCTTTAGAGGAAGGATGTGATTTGGGGTTTTAAGAACTGTTATGTTGCCAGATATGGTGGCACATATCTATGTCAGTGGCTTGGGAGGCTGATGCAGGAGGATCACAAGTTCAAAGTCAGCTTCAGCA